AAACTTTTAAATGAGTAATGCTCTGATACCAATTATTGAGTTAATCGATCGACGGAATCGACTAAGAGGGAGGTGAATTGGCAATTAAAATTTTGGGGGAAGTTTTTGCAGAAAATTGAAAAGATTTGCACAGCAATTTAAAGTGGTTCAACTTTCTCAACCAAAGTCTACGTCCACTACCTTAGCTATCCACACTAAGGATTTTTCAACAAATTTACTAATTTGTTCTTTCTTTTGTGGACAAAGAGTAACCTTACAACTCCCTAAAAAATTATACTCCAATTCTTGAGCACACTCTTTTTCAAAGAGAAATACACAAATTTGCAAACTTATAAGGAAAACCTCACAAGGTAGATTGTTTGCACAATTCTAGAACAAGATAAGAACACTAAAAAAATGATTACAAATGAGCAAAAATTGTGTTCTTGAAAGAAAATGAATATTGAAAGGAAAATTAGCTTGACTTGCACAAACTTGATGTTTGATGCTTTCTCTCTTATTTCTCTATTGATTCTTCTTAATTGTTGTTGATCAATGGCTTCTAAACTTGTTTAAATACTTCTTCAAATGATTTTGAACGTTGGGGATGATTAGTGGAGTCAATAGAGTTGTTTAAGTGTGAAAACATTAATTAAAGCAGTTGGGAGCGTCAGTGCATCGATGCATAACAAGGTGCATCGGTACATCAAGTGTAAAATTCAAATATTTTGACCGTTGGAACACTTAGTGCATCGCTGCACCAAGTGTGCATCGATGCATAAAATGCATTCGATGTTTTGAAAAAGCCTGAGTGCATCGATGCATGGTCTGTGCATCGATGCATAAAATGCATTCGATGTTTTCATAAAATCCTGAGTGTATCGATGCATAAAATGCATTCGATGTTCAATTTATTCATTGGTGCATCGATGCATGGATTGGTGCATCGGTGCATACCTTTGAAAATTTGATTTTAGGTTTGATGTTAGTTCAAAATACTTTGTGAAAATTGTTTTAAAAATATATTAAGTAAAAAACACAATTTTACACATTTAGTAAGGTTTGAAATTGATCTTGAAAGACTTGGAGTAATAATTTGATATTTGAGTAATTAAATCGAATATACTTAGAAAATTATTTATGAAATCTTAAAATTCATTTAACTTAATTTGTTATATCGAAACATCAAAATATTTTCAAAAATTATCTTACCTGATGAAAGGGAACAGGCCAGAGGGATACGAAGCATACTGTAGCGGCCCAAATGAGACGTCCAATACCTGCTGAGAGAGGAAATGACACAAAACGGTTCTGTTAGTAATCTGTTAGAGCATATGACAACTGGCATAAATTAGATTTTGCGTACTATGTTGTAACTAAATAAAATACCTGCTTGTAGTCAATTTTTTCTTATGAAATGAATGAATGAGAACTTCTTTCTGTAATCTCTCTTCTTCCTTCTTCTAAAATCTCCTTCTTCGATATTTCTTCTCTAATCTATCCAATCCATAACAAATTAGTATCAGGAGCCTTAATTACTGGCAAATTGCAGACTGGATATGCAAAAGAAGAACCAAACCATGGTCGAATCTTATGCTCTTTCTACATTCAAAACCAGATTGACGAATTATCAATGCTGGTGAAGCAAGATCAGTACCTGGAGACAAGGATTGCAAAGAATAAGGGTTATTTCGAGCAGATTTTAAGGGTCTTGACAGGAAAGGTGATGGAGCAAGACCAAAATAGCCCTGAAATGGGGTCGTTACCTGCTGCAATTGAAGGCATAAATGATGGGTGTCAAGTGTTTGATAAAATGTCATCCATCACTAGTACCCAACACTTGGAAAGTGGTTCCGACCGTGATTGGTCTGAAGAACAAAAGTTGGAATTGATGATTACGCTTGATGCTCCAAGTTTTATTTCAGTTATGCAACATGCTCGTAACCGTGCTTTGCGTGAGGAAGTTTACCGTGCTTATATAACACGGACATCAAGTGGTGATTTGGATAATACACCAATCATCAATCATATATTGAAACTTCGGTTGGAGAAGACTAAGCTTCTGAATTACAATAATTATGTTGAGGTAAGCATGGCAACAAAAATGGCAATTGTTGATAAAGCTGAGGAACTATTAGAAAAGGTTCAGAGTGCTTCGTGGAATGCTGTTGTCCAGGATTTTGAAGACTTAAAAAGTTTCTCCAAAAGTCAATGTGCTCCAGAAGTTGATAATTTGAGCCATTGGGACATGACTTTCTGGAGTGACAAGCTTCGTGAGTCAAAATACAACATCAATGAGAAGAACTCTGACCATATTTCTCATTTTCAAAGGTTATGGATTGCCTTTTCAACCTTTCCAAGGTACTTTTCGAGATTGATATTGAACCAACTGATGGTCTGACTCTTGTCTGGAATAATGATGTGTGGTTTTACTGTGTCAAAGACTCTTCAGGTAGTCTAATTGCCTACTTTTATTTTGATCCATACTCTCGTCCATCAGAGAAAAGGGGAGGTGCATGGATGGATGAGGTCGTTTCTCGAAGTCGAGTACTGTCACGTAATGATACTACCTCAAGGTTACCTATTTCCCACATGGTGTGTAATCAAACACCACCATTCGGGGACAAGCCAAGCCTTATGATATTTCGTGAAGTAAAAAATGTCTTCCATGAATTTATGCTGATTAAGCAAGATGAAGGTCTAGTAGTTGACATTCGGGGGATTGAGGGGATGCTATTGAGTTGTCATCCCAGTTCATAGAAAACTGGTATTATCACAGGGATACACTAATGAGCATTGCAAAACATTATCAAACAGGGGAGAGCCTGCCTGAAGAGGTATATTTAAAGCTCATTGCTGCAAGGATTTTCTGTATTGGTTCTCTAAGTCTTCGTCAGATTAAATTTGCGAGCCTGGATTTGGAGTTACATACAAAATATATACCAGATAGGTCTGAATTTGTTTATGATGGCGATAAGAGAGTTTCTAAAAAAACACAAGTAATCCCTCCATTGTCGGAAGATAGATTTCTTTGTACTTTCAACCATATATTTGCAGGTGGATATGCTGCTGGATACTACAATTACAAGTGGGCAGAAGTTTTGTCTGCAGATGCTTTCTCAGCTTTTGAGGATGCTGGATTAGAAAATAGCAAGACAGTTAAAGAAGCCGGCCACAAGTTCCGAGAGACTATTCTTGCTCTTGGGGATGGAAAAGACACTCAAGTAATTCTTACTCGAGGATTCCATGGCCCACTCATATCAGCCATCTCAGTCGATCCCAATTTCACACCCAAGCATGAGGAGAAGAAAACAAAGACTTTCCCAATTGTCATTGGTGTTGTAGGATCAGTTCTCGTATTCTTAGCATTTGAGATTCTAATATGGAGATATTATTTTAAAGCCAAAAGCCAGAGAGAACAAGATCTCAAGGGACGGGATCTGCAAACAATTTTTTTCACCTTAAAGCAGATAATGGCGGCAACTAACAACTTTGATTCTGGAAACAAGATTGGTGAAGGTCGATTTGGACCTGTTTACAGGGGTCAGCTAGCCGATGGAACAATAATCGCTGTCAAGCAGCTCTCTTCAAAGTCGAGTCAGGGAAACCGCGAATTCTTGAATGAGATGGACATGATTTCATGTTTGCAGCATTCCAATCTTGTGAAACTTTACGAATAATGTATCGAAGGGAATCAATTGTTGCTAGTATACGAGTACTTGGAAAATAATAGCCTTTTAGGGTTTTGTTTGGACTGAAAAACTCTCGAATAAATCTGGACTGGCATACTCGGCAAAAGAATTGTGTTGGAATAGCTAGAGGTTTAATGTTTCTCCATGAAGAGACTAGACTGAAAACTATCCTCGAGACATCTCAGGAGCCATTACTTGAAGTTAAAGATAATATTAACTCAACTTGTTCCTTGAGTGTTGAAGTTGCATATATAAATAAGAAGTTTTCACAGCAGGTTTTAGTTAGGCATGGGAACAAGATTAGTTTTGATGAACTAAATCCGTTTGCCAATGAAGACGACGAAGTGGCTTCTGTTGTTTATAGGTATAGAAGGTGGAAGCTTGATATACAGTTAGATGCTCGGTGTGAGATTCAAAGTGTTGTTGATGTTAATAACCAGAAGTTTTTCCTTACTTTGAATGCACTTAATGAGTTTGATCTCAAGTACTTTAGTATTGATTGGAGGCAGAAGTTGGAGATTCAAAGGGGTGCGATTTTGGCTACCGAGTTAAAGAACAATGCGAATAAGTTGGCTAAATGGACTGCACAAGTGATTTTAGCCAATGCTAAATTGATGAGATTAAGACATGTTTCGATAGTGTATCTTATGGATCATTTTATCCATGTGATATTAGGTGTTGTTGGTCACAAACAATGACTAATTAGTTGGGATGAACTTTCTTCTTTTGTAAATTGGAAGGATTTTGTTGTCTTACTATCACAAATTTTATATTTTGATCCTTGGGGATAAAGATCATCTAAAGGGGAGGAATTGTCACAGTTGAAAGAGAGAAGAAGAAGCATGAAGCGAAGGGCATTGAGATTTAGAAAATGAATTAGGAATTGAGAAATACGAATTGGGAATTAAAACATGAGATAACCAAACGATTATTCTGATGAAGGGGAGTAGGCCAGAGGGATACTAAATAAAATACCTACTTATAATCATCTTTTTCTTATAAAATAAATGAATAAAAATAAATGAATGAAAAATTTTTTCTGTAATCTCTCTCTCCTTCTAAAATCTCATTTCTTCCTTCTAAAAATCTCATTTTTCTTCGATATTTCTTCTCCAATCTATCCAATCCATAAATTTTGAAATCGATGTTAGTCGTTAAGTTTTGTTTGTAAATTTATTAGAGGGGTTGAACATTACCGGGATATATATATATATAGATGCCCACATTTATAATGGGTTAAAGAAATATTTTTTTGTCTTGGAGTTGATCTACTCATTAGGAAAGAAAAGGTCATCACAGAACAGATGATGAATACAATACCCTATTGTACCCACTAAATACTATTTTTTTTTATAAAAACTGAACTCATTAAAAACCTTCTTCATAGTAGATTCTTTCTAGAAAGAAAGAACCAACCAATTGAAGAACGACCTCAAATTACAAATAGAACACAATATTACATAAGGCTTAGCAAATACACCGAATACAGTAGCTTCAGATAATGCAAAGAAAATAGCCTAAAGCAGATCCCTTGCAATTACCCAATCCCCCTATTTCCCTAATCACACGTAAATAAAAAAGAGGATTGCGAATATTTATTTCCTGAAAATTCATCCGACGGTTCGAAGACCTCCATGAGAATTTTCGCTTAGGATGTTTCAGAACCCTCAGCCACAGACCGAGCTTGCAGAGCTTGGCTGCCTTGGCATGTTGGATTATGAGTCTTGTCTCCGCTCTTACTTGTCTTTGCCCCTCTTGTCTTTCTGCCCATCACAAAGGATGGGTACATGAACCCACAGAGGAAACACACCTTTGTAGGTTCTCTCTTGGTTTCACTTGCCTGTAATGATTTTTTATATAAAAAATGTAATGTCTGCTGTTGCTACGGAGTGTACTATTCACGACGAAGTAATGCAGAGTAAAATTTAATACCCGAGAGCAAAAGTGAAATCGACTTCAACTAGCTCACTTATTGCTTCAATGACTTCAATTTTTTCCCTTACTTGCTTTTGTCCCTCTTTGATCTTCTCTTGTTCCTTCCTTAGCCTTTTCATCTCCGATCTCTGGTTTCTGATGCGTTGCTTTTGACCCTCTTTGATCTTCTCTTGTTCCTTCCTTAGCCTTTTCGTCTCCGATCTCTGCTTTCTGATGCGTCCGATTATTTTTTTCAACATTCTTTTATGCTACAAACATATCAAAGATCATAATATCCAACGAGTTGAACAATCAAGTCCCTTACCATGAGTAATAGACACTCCTAAGCCTATTAAACAAGTATATGGTTTTAGAATTAAAACCGGTAAAACCAATAACTTGGTAGTCGAGTTATGGAGTTCATCGGACCTAAATATATTTAAAAAGGTGAGAAAAGAAATTTAATTGTAAAGCTCGATATTAAATGGTTGGTCGATGCTCTAAATAGTAATATAATCGACGATCAATTAGATGAGGGTTAGATACTAGGGGAATAGGAACTTTGCGATTGGAATTTTTTTATTTACTTTCTTTCCATTATTATACCAAAAAATATAAGTAGCATAAATTGAAAATAATTATCATAAAATAAAAGTGGGAAATATAACATGTAAAAAACCCTACCTGATTGTCCATGCTCTTAGCAGTTTTCACAAGCAACATTTGTTGCAACGCATAGGAACGAGAACACTAACATGAAATCAATGCTCCCTATGCATAGCCTTTTATATTGATATGTCTCTTTCTAATCCATTTATTAAATTTTAAATATTAATAATATATTTAAATACTATTTTATAATTATTTTTTCTTAATAAAAAATAACAACTCACACTTTTTATTAAATTAAGGGTAATTACATTTAAGAGCTCTTATTTCTGAATTCAAAAACAAACAAGTTGCTCTTCTCTCTAAAAATTACAAATAAATCAATTTATCATTAAAATATTAGAATAACCCATTCATAATAATATTTTAATTAAATTGAATGTTTATAACTTTAAAAAAATAATTTATTTATCATCAAACTCATAATTAAATAACTTTAGATATAATTTAGGGGTCGTTTGTTTACTGCTGAATGAAACATTTAACGCAGAATGTTGAACCGTTCAACATTCAACGTATTTGATTCTCACTCTGAATGAAGATTATATTGAATGAAACAGTAAAATACTACTGAATGATTTAACATTAAGAACATTCTGAATCATTAAGTATTTAATATTTTATTATAATACTTATTTTTTTTAGATATTATCTTATTATTGCTTGTGTTCACACTATCAAATCACAATCTTCAAATATTTATCCCTTAAACTAGCACTTTCGAATCATTTCAATCGTAATTTCAATTCAAAATCACCTTTAGTCAAATCACCTTAAATCTATCTGGAACCAGCTTTTTTTTTAAATATGCAATGACTGACTCTTTATTCTCGGACTTTTCGTAGATAAGTATATAAAAATAAATATTTGGCCATATTCTCACGTCAGAGGTGACATATGAGTGACGGAACTCATGACTTTTGCAGCACATTCTAGATGAACTTCATCCTGACTGTAAATTAGATATTTAAAATTATCGTATCTTTTATATTTTTAAATATTCCATAATTTAGCGTCTTTAAAATTTTAAAATTATAATATTTTTTAAATATTTTTATTCTTTTAAAATTTTATAAATTTATTTATTTTTAAAATCTTAAAAATTATCTCTCTAATCTAAAAATTTTATATCCGCTTACCGTATGAATAATCACGCCAAATCTTTAGGTGTTAATGTAATTTTGGGGGAAAGTTTTTTGTTTTGAAAAGTCAAAGCATTTAATTTGGTGTGGCTTTTTTAGGTGATAATGTACCTATCCAAGTGAGAAACATAAATTGATCTCCACCCTTGATAAGCCTTCATCTAAGGGTCACTATTGCTTCAATCCTTGCCAAACAAACACAATCCATGTGAGCCTTTGATGGAGGGTTAGATCCAACGACTACAAGCTTGCCCCATCATCAAGCCATGTAAAAACACAAAATAATCTCAACCATTGGATATAGATTGGATCCAATGGCCAAGACTTCATCTTACCAAAGGAGGTTTGGCTCCCCACTGATGTTATCGACCAGATAACTAGACGGAACCGATGACACGTGGATCACATGCGCCAGTCCGATCATCTTTTTTTTGAAACGCCGCGTCGTCACTGTCACCAGTCACATTAAGATATAAGAAAAATCACAGAAAAATTAGAGAAAGGATTGTTCTTGAATCTAAAACAAGTTGTTACAACCGTTTCTTCAAAATTAGAGTCTTTAAAATTTAAAATTATCACATTTTTATATTTTTAAATATTTTTATTAAAATTTTATTTTTATTCTTTTAAAATTTTATAAATTTATTTATTTTTAAAATTTTAAAAATTTATTTTTATTCTATAAATTTATTTACTTTTAAAATCTTAAAAATTTATCTCTCCAATCGTAATACTTTGCATCCGGTGGCGCCAAATTTTTAGGTGAAAATGTAGTTTTGGATGTAATTTTGTGGGGAAAGTTTTTTGCTTTGAAAAGTCAATGCATTTAATTTGGTGTGGCTTTTTTAGGTGATAATACACGTATCCAAGTGAGAAACATAAATTGATCTCTACCCTTGAAAAGCCTTAATCCAAGGGTTACTATTGCTTCAATCCTTGTCAAACAAACACAACCCATGTGAGCCATTGATGGAGGGTTAGATCCAAGGGCTAAACACTTGCCACATCATCAAGCCATTTGAAAGAACACAAAACAATCTCAACCATTGGATCTAAATTGGATCCAATGGCCAAGACTTCTTCCCAAAGGAGGCTTGGCTCCACACTTTTGTTCATATCGGCCGGAGATCTCTACGGCGCGTCGATGACACGTGGGTCACATGCGCCGGTCTGATCATCTTTCTTTTCGAAACGCCGCGTCGTCACCGTCACCGGTAACATTAAGATATATGAAAAATCACAGAAAAATACAAAAAAAATTAGAGAAAAGGATTGTTCTTGAATCTAAAACAAACAAGTTGTTACAACCGTTTCTTCAACGGATTTTAAGCGGGAGCAGTTAATCAAGAGCCATAGTTCATCAATATAAAAAGGGCGTTCATCATTTACACTAAATACCAAGGAATCAACTAGCAATCGTCAACATAATCACCAATCCACATAAAAGTTTCGGAGAAAGCAAGGAGAAAAGGAAGAGAGCTCATCGTTCGTGGAGGAGTCGGTCACTGTAGATTCAAGCTTTGTTTAAGGTGAGGATTTTTTTCCTTTGCATATTTTCGGTTCCAATAAAAGAGGGACCAGATTTTGAGGTGGTTGGTGTTCGGAGTTTGGCCGGTGGTGGCCTGAGTTTGGTCGGTTGGGTGGCCTCGGTTAGCTAAGTGGGGAAGAAAGGAGTTAGTTCTCTTGAGCCAAGGTTAGTTTAGGTTAGAATCAAGAACACTTGGGTTTATTTTTTGGGGAGTGATCTTGGGAGTTTAGGGTTTTTGATTTGAAAAAGATGAGAAAATTGGTGTTTTTGGAGATTTAGATTAAGAAAAACATGGATAAAAGTTAGGTTTGGGTTGACATGGAAAGAACATATATGAAAAAGAGTTGTTTGATCTTTAAAAACGACTTTTTTGAATGGAGTTTTATGTTTTTTCGGATCTAACTTGTTTTTGGGGATGAGCATAGGATGAGTTTGGATGAATATTTGAAGAACATGGGAGATGGCTGGCCAAGGTTGAGAGAATTTGGGGAAAGGAGGAAATTTTGGAGTGTGGAAAATGAGGATTGTGTTAAATTTTTAGGTTTTATAATGTATAGTTTTTGGGCTAATTACTTCATTAAACACTATACAAGTAGCGTATTTTTTATTTTGTCTGTGGCTTTACATTTATTTTAGTCACCAAATGCTTGTAATTTGCTCTCCGAATTTTAATTGAGTTCGATTTAGTCCCTAATTTCTTTCCAACTGCCTTGATTGCTTTATTAAAAATGTCTAATTATTAATATTAAATTCCAATTCTTGAATCTTTTAAAATGGTCACCCGTTTAATTATAACATTAAATCTTTAGAGTTTTTAAATTTTTTATTTTAATCACTAATATTAATTAATCTTTAGATTTTTAATCCAGCCTTAGATTTTAAGTTCTTTGGTTTCAGCTTTATTAATTAGAGCTTTAGTTTAATTTATTTAATTAGAAATTAATTAAGTTTAGGATTAGTTTTTTTTAATAAAATTAATTAGAAATTAAATAAATAAATTCATAATTTGATTAAAACAGAGTAATTATTTATTTCTAAATTTTGAAAAGAATGGTCTTAAGATAACTAGACATTTCTTCTCAATATTTTCAAATAAATAAATTCTATTAAGTGGTCACTTCTAAAATTAAATAGATTCATTAATTAAAAGCAAAAGGTAGAGGTTTATTCCAACGCTTAAATTGCTGAGGATAAGTTGTTTAATTAACGTCAAAAGCTTGATCTTTGTTCTTTAAAATAAGGATCATCCTTATTCTTTTAAATAATAATTTGACTATTTTTTCATCTTTAGTTTTTTTTAGGTTTAATAATTGATTAATTCTTTAATTTTTAATGATGACATTATTTCATTATTTCAATTAAAACATAATAAATAATCGCCTTAATTCTAGTTAAGGGGTTAGTTTCTTCTTTAATTGGAAATAGATAAATATTGTGCATCTCTCTAAAAATTTTAAATATTCTTATTTTAGGGAATAAAAAGATCATTAATTAAATAAATATTTGAATTTCTTAATTTTTAATATAGAGACAATTTTATAATTGAATGTGTCAATATTTGGACGTTGCGAGGGTATTAATCCTTACACAAGCGTAATTGACTCCGAACTCAAAATCTTTGAATTGCATACCAAATTACGCCTTTTTAAATTTATTTAAAAAAGTGTATCTCGGGTTTTTAACCTACCCAATCCTAAAGATTGATAGTAAATCCAAACTTTTCAAATCTTTTCTAAAAATTCCAATTTTGTAAATTTATTTCATATTCGCACCAATTTCGAAAAATGTCTGTCGCGACACTCATCATGTCCTAGTTTCCCACACACACACAAAAGATCACGGTTTTTCGTATTGGAATAAAACATAAGTAAACGAACCTTTTGGTAAAGCCAACTTCTTATTCTTCTTTAAAGGCTTATGAACATCAACCCTCACCCGAATTATTATAGATCCTCTGTACTCAAAAGTAAAGCAGATGCCTCATACTCAATAAAAGATCCAATAAAATTGTCGAATTGCTTCGCTACTTGTTCTGAAACATACCCCATCGGTAAGTCATTAACCAAAAACCCAGAAATCTACACTAGTCAACAATCACTTTCATCAGATCATCATCAACTTCCAATCGATGCATCAATAACAAGCTAGAATTAAAGTATCAGGGACCCCAGATTCTATATGAGTAACATCAACTTCATGAAACAACCGAAATAGAAACCTACTCTCCCCCAATTCAGAGATGGAGATTCCCCCAATAGGATGCCAGACATTGGCCAGCGTGACCCTCATAGCCAGAAAATTCACAGAACTCACTATAAGGAATTTTCCAACCAAGCAAAATTCAAAAGATATTGGGGTGGGGGTCCCCTAATCTCGTTAAAGTGAGGTCCTCTTCCTCCTATTCCCCTAACGCAAGATTATCCAAATCGTGCTCAAGATCACCACACAATGAACAAACCAAACCCCAAAACAAGGCTAGCAAAAACTAGAGACTCAAGAAACCCAGAAAACAACTACAAACGATAGAGAAAAGGCGTGCCAAGAAACAAAGAAACCCTAGCATAGAAGGATGAATTGAGAATAAAATATAATTAAATAATTATTTATTTAAAATAATTTGTCTATTATCGTTTCGAACTTCAAGAATGAATTGAGAATAAAATTTTTAAATTATCATATATTTAAGTATATTTTTTATTAATAATTTATTTTTATCCTCTTAACTTTTTTATAAATTCTATCCTAACTTATATCATGCAACTGTCCCTAGTTTCAACTGAATATCTTTAATCAAGGTTTGATTAGGTGTGAGAGAAAACGATGAGAAAGAAAATAATATTAATTAAAAACACTCACGACATAATCCAAAAGGACCTTTAATATATATATTTTTTTCCTTTAAAGAGCAACTATTCCATAAAAGTCTAATCTCACTTAAAATAATCCTAAAATAAAGTCCATATATTGATTCCATTAATCCAATGGCGTAATTTTATAGAGCAAGCTTCAAATTACATTTTATACCCATTTTTATAATAGGTTAGGTCCAATAATTATATTATCCACAAGGCCCAAAACATTAGTATGGGACGACAAACAGCAACCTAGTTCTCAAAGTAAGACTTCAATTTCTAATTTTCTAAGGTTTTAACTAGGTCATTAAATGCAAAGCATTTACCGAAAACATTTTGTTTATTGAATCGTTAACTTGCTTCTGTATCATCCTTTAGAAGGAACCTGCAAACCTTCATCTTCATAATAGTAATAACAATAATAAGCTTTGTATAATCTCTTGCAGACCAATCTCGGTTCTTCCGTTAATCAATTACAGCGTTATTGCTATTTGCCAAGATCATGATGGGATCGTGGTTGGTTGCGAATTAAATCAACATGGAGAAGAGAGAACTCGCCTGAATCTCACCGATCATGCTGAATGTTGGAGCGTTATTACCATTGAACATGACAACCGATTAGGTTGCTCAGAGATTTAGATTTGACTTGTGCCTAATCACTGGGTGATATTTCCACAACATAACTTATGTAATGTGCTTTTCTATGTGGTTCTCCCTCGTTCTCTAACCATTTGGTATAAAAAAGAAAATAACATACCGGCAAAAGAAACATTTCACGGTTAAATTAATAAAATATTATCTTTAAAATTCAGAGAAATAATTCTTTTAAAAAAAATTACACGTATTTAATTGTAAAAGAATAAAATAATAATTCAAACCAATTTTAAGAATAAGAAAATATTTGTAAAAAAAACATAGATGTGAAAATCTTAATTCCAATTATTCAATAGAAAAATGTTTAAAAATCAGATCTACAAAATTAATATTCAACTGATGTAAAATTTTATGACTACCGAATATATTAATAATACAATAATAAATAAAAGAATTACCTAAATAAATTCTAGAGAACTCTTTTTTTTATAAAAGAGTTTTACAATAATCTAATGGGTAAAGTATACAAATGGTCCTTTGACTATAGGATATTTTTTTTGAGTCTTTCTACAATTAAAAGTTATAAAATGATCACCTAACTATTCATTATATTTCAGATTCGTCATTTTCATTAAAAAAGTTGATGACAGTCTGAGCTAGATATTAATATATTGTCAGAGAAATGATAAAATATGATCTTATAATATCATACAACTATTATATCTTAGAAAAAATTAATAACCAGATCAAAATATCATTAATTTTTTACGGAAAATGATGAGTTTTGAACATAATAAATAGTAGGAGGACTATTTTTTAACTTTTAATAGTCGATGGACTCAACAAAGAAAATCATATAGTTTAGGGATCATTTTGTAACATTTAATAGCTTAGAGACTCAATAAAGTAGTATCATATAGTTGAAGGACAGTTTATGTACTTTACCCCAATTTAATTGACCGTATACTTTAATCTCAAAAGTATAACATGTATCAGGTGTATGCGTTACGCTACTGCGCTCAGAAATTTGGTGACTTGGCGGTAGATCTTAACAGTTCTTTTTCGAACCCTAATCCGTAGGGATAAAACATCATTGATCAAATTCTATTCAAGCTACTCTGGGCACACCGTTCAACTTCACTTGTTCTTGGGTTTTTCTTTTTGTGACAAAATTAACCATTATCTTTCATTTAGCCAGTTCTGTGGTTGCACAAATTCCGTATTTTCCTCTTGTTTGATTTTCTAGTGATTAAGCAGAGAGATTGCTGAATTCTGGCTTGAGGATTTTGGGAATTCTGGGAATCACTCCAATTCATGGATTAGGGGGTGAATCGGCTCAACCGGCTACGAGGAGTATGGAAAATCAAGTGCAATTGCAGTCATAAGTTTCCAATTTGAAATCAACCAGTGAGGCTACTTGAATTTTGGTCTGTAGATGTTATTTTCGTACTAGTAAAAATGGGGGAAAGTGAAGGATCTGGTTCTGGGAATTTGAAGTCGGCTCGCCCTACAGTTGCTGAGAAACTCTGGGATGGTTCCCTGAATCTTAATTCTTCTGTAACTGTGTCGGTCGTTTCCTTCTTCAAAAGGTTATTCAGCTATTTCCTTCTCTCTCTCTCTCTCTCAGTTCCGAGAACAAATTCTGTTTTTAGTATCAGTGATTTTCAGTTCATTTGTTAATATTTCTTTATTCCAAGAAGATTAAATTATATAGCTTTTTCTTTACATGTAATTGCTTTTTAAGTATTTAAATTTCTGTTGAAAGCTCTACTTTATGAATTATTTTGGCAATCTGCAAAGTTATCATAACATTATCTCTGCAAATAGAAACTTTATAATATTTTGTAGGATGCAAGAAATCAAATCATATTACTAGTAGAACAAGTCAGCTCAAGAACATGGGCAACTTGGTACCAAATAAATTATGCAAATTGGCTGATTAATTGGTTTATTATCTGCATATTTCTCTTCATATTAAATGGCATAGAGTACTGTAGTCAACGAGTACTTTGTTCCAAGAATTTCTTATCGAATACTAAAGTAGAAATGGGAAAATAAAATTAATCAAATTGATAAGAGATATGTTGATGCATGCAATGCTGAAGTTGGTTTGATGTAGGATCAACATTTAAAAAAAAATCTAATCAGAGATTGACATGGAAATGAGACCATATAAAAACTTCGGTACAATTCACGTTGTTACTAACCTAGATATGTCATGAAACTGAATTTTTTTTTCTTTGATCATGAAACTGAAATTTATATTGGTCCAACCACCAATATAGCCGTTTTTATAAAGAGGCAAATGACAATCATCCTCTATTCACCGTGGATAGAAAACTTGAATGAGCTAATAAATGACATGGTCTACCTTAAGTGACACCGGAATTGTGATCTAAACCTTGAAATGTGCGACTGATCAGATCTTCCCCATTCTTCTGCAACTACCTTCTGTAAAGAGAGAGTTTGCTGTTAGTCGTCACGGGAGCCTACCATTCTGATTGACTGTGTACATATCCCTATGCTTTCTGGCTTCTGCAATTCATGGCAATTTTGAGTTTTTAATACTAGAATCCTCGTTTTCCTTGATTCATTCATACATAATGTCAATTTTGCATGTTGTTAACAACTTTATGCAATTTATTAGCAATTGAGTCTTTCAAAGTTAACAGTTTATATTTGTTCGACTGACATGTTTTGACAGTTTCACCTACATGCCTTTAGTTAGTAAATTAAAAATGCAATCCATTTTTTTGGGACTATTTCAGGTATAATATTCGCTACAAATTAAATTTGGTGTCCTGGTTGACAGTCTCTTGGCATAATATACAGTTGTTTCACTTAATGCATAGTTCATCAGCTTGGTATGATATTATCTGACTAGGTTCATGGCATAAAGATTTTAGTGGTAAATCTTCAATAGATAACCTTTTCTACAATGATTTTGTTGTGTAGTGGTGAGAAGATGCCTGATATCAAGTGGCCTGAACATGTAGAAGTCAAAGGAAAAGTTAGACTAGAGGCTTTTGAGAAATATATTCAAGAGCTTGCTCGCTCACGCAATAGAGGGTTGATGGTAAGATATCATTTTCATGTGTTACTGTCATCAATTGAGATTATTTAGTGTGTGATTTACCTTGCCTTACATAACCAATGTTTGAATTTGATAAACAGTTGAATACCAAGTTCCTTAGGGAATAGAGATGTTAAAGACCTGAGGTACCCCTAGAAGTTTCTTCTTTGCATGTCTATAATCTCAAATATAGAATGACTAAAGTGAACATAGTCATTTTGGAAACAAATTCACGGGTCATTATCAACTCTTCTTCCATAAAAATGAAAACAGTAATGGTTTACATGCTACTTATTAGGCTTTTAGCTTAGGATTTGCACATTGATAATTAGATACACTCCTTTCACTTGTAATTTATGATATATCAATGCAATTATATTCAGGTAGTATCACTTTGCTGGAAAGAAGGGTCTTCTAAATCAGGACTAGTAGGCTTGAATCAGGTATGTTGGTAGAAAAGGAACATGATTATGGTCATTTAGTGTCTGGGGTGCATTTTGAGGATTTCTTCTCTATTTATTAATTTATAATTTCTTGTAATCTAAACAGATTGCGAAAGGGTACAAGAAAGGGGAAAGAGTGGGGTTTGCTCAGCTCTCACCAGGTATTGATCTTTACATATGTCCTCGAAGTGATGCCATAATCACCATACTTGCAAAACATGGATTTTTCAAAGGCATGGCAGCTATTGAAGACAGGAAAAACTCATTAGTTGGTTGTGTTGTTTGGAGAAGAAATCATGGACCTGCAGATTCTATCACGAAGAAGCATGAGGGAAAACGTTCTTCCTTGACAGAGCAGCCCCTGAGTTCCTACACCGAGCAAAAGGTTTCTGAAAATGACTTGCCATGTACTCAACCTTCTAAAGAATCAGTGACATGCGCAACCACTGAGAGTGCTGTAATCAATAGAAATGAAGGTGACAATGCAGGTAATGACAGCCAGCTTGCACTGCATATGTCTCCTGCCAGTGCTGATCTCTTGCTCAAGACTTCAGCATTGAGCAACTTCTCTGGTATTTCACTAGGACTTCAAACATCATCGTGTTCTGATTCTGTCTCTCTCTCCAGACCCAAGGGGCAGTCTTCTGTAAAGGAAATGCCTCGTGTGGATAACTCAAAACCGGAAGATATTAAATCTTTTTTGAGACCTGAAAATCCTGCATTATCTCTGCCACCAGTTATTATAAAAGAGCACATTCCTTCCATTGATGATGATGATCTTCCAGAATTTGATTTTGGTGGGATATCTAAAACTCCAGGAAGTAAGGTTTTGGATATAACAGTGTTTGAAAAAAATGTTGTGGTGGAAGGATTAAAGAAAGTTGTTTTGACATTTCCTTTGGCTTCGCCTACTATGCAGTCCTTACCTGCTCAGAATAAAAGGCTGGCAGAAGATTTCCTTCCCCCTGGGTTCGTATCCAACAGTAGCCTAAACTTGCCTCCAGGAAAGAAAGTTTGTAAAATTGATCAGGTATCAGTTTTACCAGTTTTAGAAGCAAAACATACTGCCGAAAGCAGCTCAGTATTCACGCCTGTTATCGCTAGTATAGTTGCACCACAAAAGAATATTTTCGTTGATGACGATGACATGCCTGAATGGTATCCACCACATGTAGAGCTCCCCAAGCAAACTTTTCTCAAATCAGAAACGGTAGTAAGAACTTCTATCCATCCTACTTTATCGAACCCCAAGTTAAGAAGTTCATCTCCAGGTCATCCAAATCCCCCATTCCCTTTAGCTTGTCAGTTGCCTTTTAATACCCGAAGACCAAGTTACGCAAATCAGTCTCTGCTAACTTCCTGTGGGAAACCACTACAACCGAGACCCAATTCCATCCAACTTTTGAGGCCACCCATCCACCACCCTCAGTGGGAGGGCAAGGGTCGATGAAACCAGTTAATTGCTCAATATATGTGAGATAGTTAAAGCACTGTACAAAGCTTGCTCCACAAGGGGATGGACGATGACTTCAAAGAATCTATAAGGTAAAGAGAAATATGGATTTGCAAATAAAGAATTTGGTTTAATGGGGCTTCACTATACAACAGTTTTCCATCTCCAGTTTGTCAGGTTTTCTGCATTTTAGATTATAATGTTTTCTAAATACTTTTATCTTAAACCTATCTTCAGCTGAAGCAAAAACTTACCGAATCTATGGTGAGAATTGTCTAAGGTGACACTTTGACCCTTTATAAAATGCTGAAATATGCTCTATGCTAATGTTTTCTGTTATTTCTTTAGGCCAGAAGAGTAGCAGCTATGAAGGGGCTTAATTCTCCAAAATCTTAAGCTCGTCTTATCTACTTGACTTTTTAATTTTGCTTGCATAAGCTTTTTCTATAAAAAAATTTGGAAGGGTTAAATATTCATTTCAGGCTCGAAGGTGTCTAGTTTTTATTTATTTTTTCCTTCCAGTTTGATACTTGAAGAAAAAGCAACCTCATTTTGATACCCTAGTTTTCCACCGTTTTGTGAACTTCATTTGCAATCTGCATGTCACTTTAAGTTGGTGTTTTTAACTTCAAGGTTGCATCTTTGTCGCTTTTCCCATCTGGGTTTTCCTCGAGCTATTATTTTTCTCTCTCTCTATTTCTTTTAATAATAATAATATTAATGTAAGAATATAATATACATATCATATAACATGTTAAAATGTTATCATCTAATACTACGTCAAAAGTATTTTTGATGATTTAAAACTATTGTTTGATTGTTCGAATCTTATATTATTTATGTACAAATATTACCTTATGCTTTCCTTAGACTAATAAAAAAAAATCCTCAGCAAATGAAGAATCTTATTCCATTAACCCTGGTAAAAATGTTTAAAGGACGTTACTTTTAAGATTTTTTTTCCCTCAAACTTGACGAGCTCTCAATAAAGTGAAAGACGACAAGACTCAAACCATTAACTCAAACCAAACGCTGATTGTACAAAACATTATCATTCCTCGACATATATAGGCCACAATTATTCCAAATTTGTGCCAACGTGATGCAATTTCCCTTTCATTACTCATCACACGTGCTTTAAAATTCTATTCCTGGAATTCCAATTTTTTCCTGCAAGAGCATATCAAATCCCTGCAGATTTTACTGCATCATCAAATGGAATAAAACACCCTTCTCCATGGATACATGGCCATAGAAATAATATTCGTATTTTTAACAAAATCCATTAACACAATGAAGGAAAAAGAAAATGGGACAAAAAATAAAAGAACCAACGCCAAGAAGTTGGCACCTACCATTTACAAGATATCATGAAAAAATTTACCGGCAACAGGTTTAGAGTTGACTGTATTTATTAGAACACCAGTATGTGCGAGTCCGATTTCCACAAGTACATGATTTCTAGAGGTGGAGAAGGATTTGTGAAACTTTACAATAAATCAATAATCATTTAGCCCTTGCCACATTGACGAAATCATCGTCGGTGAGCCATTCATTTGACTCCTCGCCTTCAGAATATTTATCTTGAAAATTCGACTGGCCTGCTTTATGCAAATCTCGAGTTTCTGGTCTCTTGTTCAGCTGAACCCAGTCATTGGATCCGCTGGATGAAGGAGCTTTGTCATGCTGTTTTGACTTAGGCACGGATACTCTATTAGAAAGATAATTATCATCGTCTTCCAGATCACTGAACGAAACATCCTCCTCATTTTCCAGGTTATGCACGACTCTCACGGGACTTCCACTGGAAATATCTGCTTCTTCCACCCATTGCACAGCGCTGTCTTCACCTGAGGTAATCTCTAATCCTTCTGCTACATTTACAATTTCACTGACCCTCTCCTCAGACGAGCCATTCTCCTGTATTGTCTCACCGAACTTGCCACCCTCCTCAGATGCATCAAGACTACTGTTTTCAGTTTGTGCATTCTTATTGTTTTGCAGCTTCTGTAGAAGTGCATCTCTGGTTTCAACAACCTGCAACATAAACAACCTTCAAGAAAATGGTTTTGATTGCATAGAACAAAGCATTATTTTCCAGCCACGAAGTGAACGTATAACGTGCATAGAAATTAGTTAAAATAGAGTGAATAAGAAAAACACAAGCATATGAATTGGAGATTAAACAGAATACGCATATTTTTTTTTCTAGGTTTTGGTGGATTTACCACAGATTACCAACTTGATGAAAGATCAACTTAGTGCTTTACAGATTAAAGAGAGTAGAACAAGCATTTTGGGGATTCAGAACATTACCATAACAGAAAAAAGGGAAACTCATACTACATTTAAAATTCAAACTTTAATACTCACCCCAATAGAAAAGATTCACCAAGTACATACATACTACTGATATCATTGACATATATACAGATAGAATATAATTTGTGCACAAGGAATCCAGTGTTGATGCATTTGACTATATATACAGGAATATGTAATTGAGCGAACAACATCATGATATTAGCTCCTCTGGATACAAAAACACTTCTCGAATAAATACACTTCAGAGGAAGAATGTTGACTAATTAATAATACAAAGCAATATAGCATGTGTTTATAATATGACAGTTATTACTCCTACATCCTCTTTTGGCCTAATTAATTCCTATACCAAAAGCATGCCGAAAAGAACATACATGACAAACAGATACATTTACAGATGAATTAAGGAAAGCAATTGATGATATAGTCATTCTTGATCAGTGCATAGTATTGCTATTCACTATTATGCATGCAAATACAATTCAATAAAACAGCATAAAAATATAATATCCCTTGCCTCCGGGGTTGAAAGAAGCTCAAAATCATGCTCATTCAGTCTTGGAAGCAACAGTATGAAATATATAATCCAAAACCTTTCCTCTCCCAAGTTATTCTGAAGGCTAAACTTAAGAGCTTCAAAATTTGGGACCAGGTGTTCAATATTTTCAGCATGTTCTCTCTGACTCTCAGACATTTTGAAATCTGCGGTAACCAATATCTTGTTAGCCAAAAATTTACCTGAGTTTTCATGGAGAACTGGAAAACAGAAATGAAGAAGCTAAAGGGTAGTACTTCTCAAGTATATCCTTATACAATATGCTCCTATAACACTACGTCTACAGTCGAAAGTAGTGTGTCTTAATCTCATTCCAGTGCATAAACCGACCATAAGCAAAGCCAATCCAACAAAACAACACTGTCAAATTCCCTTGCTAATAATGCATTCAATGCACAAGCCATCACTTCCCTATGCACATTTACTCAATGGCATAAGTTACTAACTCCTAAATGTATCAGATTTTTAAGCAACACCACAAACAGTGCATAAAGAAATCCCCTTTAATAACGGAAATCTCTAATCTAGTGTTCCACACTTGTAGGAAATGCCAGGTGTTGCAAAAAAAAGGAGGAAGCTGCCTCAAACAAAGCAATATATTCTGCATTTGTTCTTCCTTGCTACTGTAACGAATTGTAGATATGGTTTCTAATACTTTGGAGAACTAATTTAAATCTCTGAACTTAAAACCTAATTTGGTGTTAATAACAATTCAGTAAAAAGTGCAATGTAAAGAAAATTCAGCTTTGTGGCAAGTAATTAGTCAAAATATATATAAATAAATAAATACCGTTATATAGTGTGAGTGGAAAATCAGTCCAGAGCTCTGGCCGGTTGGATATTTTCTTAACAAATTCAATCACCTCATCGGTAATCCCAGGCACTCCGTCATCGTCATGATCATCATCTTCATCTTTGTCGTGTCCACCACGATCATCTTGATCCGGGAACTGCAAGAAACTCGAAGCAAATTTGGAGATCTCCGACACGGCTTTGTTACTTGACAACAATGAAATCCCGCTCTTGAAGCTGCCACCGATCTCCGCCAAATCGTTGCGGATCCCCTCTAGATTATCTGAAGACCAAAGTTTCTTCTTCTTCTGCTCCTCGCTCGGAGGCGGTGACGGAAGGAGGAGGCGCTAAAAAGGCGGCGACTCCACGTAGTTGGCGGCCGATAGAATCACCGATTACCGAAAGATCGTCCTTGACGCCACCGTTCTGGTTGGTGGGACTGTGATCTGGTGAAGACGTGGGCGAACGTGGAACGTCTGATTGGAGAGACTTCAACAGCCAAGACATTACTGAATATTAGAATATTATAATCAATTTATTTTCTTGTTTTGCAGTAAGCTGAAATTTGAGAGAGAAAAGAGCATAAAGTTCAGTTTTGTTCCCTTTTCCACAATTTTTTTTCAAAAGCGAAAATCTAATTCAATGAAAAAAGAAAAAGAGTTGAAATTGGAGGAGAGAGAAGCGGTGGAGACGGCGGTGGCGGTGTTTTAGCGTTAGGTGGCGGAGGGACTTTGGTTTATCTATCCATTAGTTTTGTTTGCTAGTTTTTTGCTTTCTTTTTGCGGACCCTTTTTACTTAACTTCCTCATTTGCTTTCTCCCTTTGGATTCCAGATTGGGATAAAGTAACTTTTAATCCTTGAATTTTCCATTCTTTCATATTGATCCCTGATTTTTTTTCCATCGTCTCCACTAATCCTAAGTTTGACCCAAAAAATTCTCAATTTTAGTCTATCTGATTAACGTTACATGTGATCAAAGTGCAGCTTATCACTTAAGAGCGTCAGGAAGGTCATCAAAATATTTAAAATCCAAATCCATATATGACAATGAACTAAATATTTAAGGATCAAATTTAAAAAATTATTAAATTCATAGACTGAAAGTTAAAATTTGCTCCGCACGTCACTGTTTCTTGCCGTTTTGGTTACACTCGTCTCTTTCCCGATATCTAATTATTAAAAAAAATAGAAAAGGATTTACCATGATGACAATGAAACTATACAAGGGTAAGTTTTCAGATGCATATGTAGATTTTTATTAAAAATATTTTATTTTTCATCATTAAATTATATAAGCACACAGCAATAAACTAATAAATATAAATTCGAGTATATTAAGTATAATTTGTTTTTTAAAAATGGATAATTCATAACTGAAAAATTGAGGATAGAATGTCCCATCACTGCTTGGATGTGAAAATCCAGTATCGAACAAGGAAAGGATTGCAATCAGTTTCAAATAAATAACTCAAAACAAAACATTAATACATAATTACGTCCATGAAAATGAACGACGTATGTGTTGCTAGGATGGCCATTTCATTTCATCAATGATTATTAGCCTATCAATTATTATACAATAAACCCCCATTACACAGATGCATATGTATACATGGTTTTCTTGTTTCGCAAGTTACAGTAACTTGGACTGTAATATACTGTATTACCCCCCGGAAAAGTATGATAATTATTAAAATAATCCCCTATGCCTTTCAATCAAACTTCCATATTCCATCTCTTTCTTTCCCGTTTAGTTACATGCTCATGCCTTCCGGTGATCCGGTTGGTCCCCTTCATATTTCCTTTCTCCTTGGCCATGGAACCAATAAGAAAAACATACAAGTATCCGACACACATATAAATCCAGAGTTCCAAACATAGTTCGTAAACATTTGACAACGAACAATCACAAGCCATAGAGTAGGGGGGAAGCCAAATATTATAAACAAATTCGATCAACAATGGGCAATCTTGAAAGAAACATAAGGATGAAAGCTCCTGATTCAGTATCAACACTTAAGAAACAGGTTTTAAAGAAAGTTACCAAGTGTATTAGCATTATTGCCAACTTTGATCAATGAAAACAATCAATAACAAAATGCTCTCTCCCTTACTAAATATTTAATAATGAATCTTAATCTAGCTAACTAGGGCACATTCACAACATATGGTACACAATTTGCTATTCTTCAAGCATTCTTCCCAAGCTCAAATTTCACAACTGACGACGAGTTTCACCTTTTTTTCTTCTTTCCTGTGCTTAGAAATATAAAAACATGCTCTTCGTGCGAAGCATCTACATCATGCCTGCATATGGATTGTGCGGTTGAACCGGCATACCTGAGTTGTAAGGGTGGACGGGGGCTCCATAATTGTTGAATGGATTTGAAGGCTGCTGTTGTGGTGCTGCCATCATCATCATCTGTTTCTGTTGCTGATACATAAAAGCCTGCTGCTGATTCGCCATTGCTGCCATCTGGACTGAATATGGAGCGGGAACCATGTTGGGGGCATAAAAGGGATCGTGCGCTGGTTGTTGCATCATAGCACCAGATATGGTAGGTGGTTCCCATGGATTATAGCTAACGTTCTGGTTGCTTCTTCTGATTGCATCATCGTAAAGGCTGTCCAATGTAAGCTTATCGAGCCCTCCGGCCTATCAATTTAATAAAATTGAAAATGTCAATGCAACATGCATCATGCATGTATATATCATATTATGTTACCAATAAACGATGCACAAAACATTAAAGTGTGTAATGTGCAACAGCCTTGTAATAGAGCACACCATCTGAAAGGTCCATAGAGGAGATAACAATAGTAAAAGTACCAGTTTGCTAGCGGCAGCAGCACTTTCATTTGAGCTTGGAGCAGTGACAAGTGCTAATTCCCAGCCTGTATTACCATTTGCTTGAGGAGGCGGAGCAGCAGTAGTTGTTTGCTCTGCGGAAAACCATCAGTTAGTCAAACATGAAGACAATTTCCCAATAAGAAATATGCCATTGAAGCACAGTTGATTCAACTTGAAACATTACGAGAAGAATTGCTTAGGAGCTTATAAGTTCAAAGATATAATACAAATTTGAAACTATTCATATTAGTTTTATGTGGTTTAAACCAGTAGAGAAGCGAGTTGTTGAAGTTTCATGTTGTCTATGATTGAATTACTGATAAGGAATGAATTCAAACTCACCAACAGGAACAATAGCCAATGCCAGGGCATTCTTCTCATCCAACTCTGAAGCAACTGGGACAGGGTCGTTTAAATTCTGCCAAGAAAGACAAAAAGAAGAGCTCGCAAATGAATATTGGGACAAAAAAATCTGATGTAGCTGCCAAATTCTCATATAACAATATAGTAGTTATAGCAAAAGTGGGAGACTACAAAATTAGTTAAAATTAAAAAATAATTCAGATGAACTGCCAAGTTCTCATACAACAATACAGTCGGTAACAAGAAAAGAAAAAGCAGATGAAAATTACCAACAAATCAGGTTGTTCAACAATAGGCTCTTCCACTTTCTCCACTCTTTTGGGTTCAGGAGGAGGAGGTGATGGCGAATGTTTCTCCTCCACCTCTGGGGTTCTCTTGTACTCAATGGCCAACACTTCCTTGGGTTTGTCGACCTGCCAGTTCAAAAATAAAACGTAAGACAATAATAATTGCAAACACCACTCTTTTGGCTTACTTTTATATACAAACTTAAAATCAGATTGTTTTATTTTGCACAAACCAATAAAATAAAACTGTTTTTTCAAATTTGTAAGCCAAACAGGATGACATTTACAAACATAATACATATATCATATCGCAAAGGCATAGAAATATATAAATTATCTTCCTGTCAAAACGAAAATCAATTTGACAGAGGATTTTGAGACCTGATCTTTACGTACTGCTGAAGCCTGTGGAGCTTCTCTTACATACTCTTCCATGGCTTGTAGAAACGATGCAGGGGGCTTCAGCAAAAACACCGAAAGTAAATTAGTTTTATAATGAAGTCTCAAGAGAACTCAAGGAAAAGCAAATCAGTTTCAGAAGGCACGAAACGTGGAGGATCCTTACCTGCTCTATCTTGATAAACCTTTCTCCATGCCCTACATCCAGACTTTTACATACTTCATAAAATTCTGAAAGCCTCTCTGCCTGCGAACAGAAAGTGTTAAATTCCCCCAGAGTTTGAAATCCTCGTCATTCACAAAAAGGAGATGACATTAGCAATACTGGCACAAGAATTTACCTGTTGGCCAGCCCTCCCATATATGTCCAAAGCCTTCAGAGCATCAGGGCGTTGCATCTCAAAGAACTGTATTTGTTCAGGGCATCATATATACATGATTCAATAAATAGAAAAACAGCTTATTTGGATTAATACTACAGCTTACCTTGTCTACAAGATTGACTGTACCATCACTAATAGCTTGATAAATTTTGACACTTTCTGAAGCAACCTGTTTGAAATGACAAGGAGAAACAGAAAAGAATTTTATCTCCAAATTCACCCTACGAATATGGGGAGCGTAGAATGGTAGTATGTTCAAAAAAGTAACATACCATTGAAATTGCCAACCGGATAACAAAATTATGAACAGCCGCACCTTGTGGCTGAAAAGAAATTCCGTTAATACTCTCGCTAAATAAAGTGAACAAGAAATAGGAGGCACAGCAAGATATGCAGCTAACACAACCAGTTCCAAGCCAAATCCATGTTAGCACAACAAGAGGCATTAAATGCTCACCTGACAACCAAGAACACGAAAAAGAAGCTGTTGCAAAACTGACAGGTGCTCAAGCAACTCAGCAGTGCCTAAATCTTTGGTTCTCTGCAAGAAGATTAATCTATGAATTCTCCCAACAGTTCAGTTTCAATGAAATTAAAGAGACTGCAAGAGACATAGTTACAATTCTAACAAGATATTGACAAAAATAAGGTGTTCACAGGGTAGTTTCAGTTAGTTAAACTTAAAGTACACAGTTACAGATGTGCATGCATGCTTCTAGGAACTAAAAGCTAGAGGATATTACAAAAGGATGCGGAAGAGAAGTTTTGAAACCTAATGTAATTTTTTATATTATAGGTTAAAAAAGCATGTGTTGTTCCTTGAAATGAAGCATGCAAAATTTGAAACTCTACAGAAGTGCCATACCAAATACTACCTATGACGTTACATGAAAGCCATTAGAACCAAATGAAAATTGAAAGAGAAAAAATTGAAAAGATGTAGAATCAAGAATAAAGATTATGTATCAAAATAAGTTTCTTACTGGGCGGTCTGCTTCAATATCATACTTCAAGACACGGAAACATTCCAGCCTCTCCTCCAAGAATAAGGCATAAGTGCGAACCCATCCAGAATAATCCCAAGCTGTGAAGCAGATAGTAGAGGATTTCATAAACAAGGAACTTCAGTTTTAATGAAATTATAGCAAGGATTCTCAAAAGGGAAGATAAGGTACCGTTTGGGCTGGAATCATCCTTGAAATGAGACATGTTAAGCATATGGC